TCCATATTTACTATTGGTATGTTGTATCGGTGGTAACGACAAAGCACCTAGAAGGGGATTAACATCAGCTTCATCAGATATATACGAACAAATTATGGTTTCATGATAGTTTCAGGCATGAAAATTTACTGGTTCGTTGAGAAAAATAGACGAAATAACAATAAATCTTCATGTTTACCTCTGACCAACCTCTGGGTTTTCCTGCAATAACTTCTTGGAATATGAACTTTGCATATTGAAGCACTGTAAATAATTATTCAATTCAACTCCCGAGACTCCTTCAAACGCCTGACACATGAAACTACCAGAATAATAGGGTGATTAGGCCAAAAGACAATTTAATTACGAGTGATGTATAATCATTGTTTGCCAACCAGACGCCATCTTGTCAGCTGAAATGTCACGTGGTTTGGATTGCCTAATATTACTAACCTGAAAACCATGCATCTCAGTGCAGTCATGTTCAAATTGCTTTTGTAAGTTAAGAACGGCATTTTTCGGAGACTGCTGAACAATTCATAAATGAAACATTAGGGTTTTGTTGAAAAGAGGCATAAGCGTCCTCCTCTTGACCCCCTTTCCATATGAGGTTCCTTAGGGTAACATCTACCCCTCCTAGGGGGTTGATCGAAGAGGGCTAATAGTATGCATTTTAAGTGTCTTCCTTGGAAATGAAATTGACGAGTCTTTTCAAATTTACTGAAAGTAAGATATTAAGGGTGGGAAGTTTTCTAAGTGACACGGCATTTTTCGGAAACGGCTCACTAGAAAATGAAAAACTAATGTACCGTTGGAAAGAGAATTGAACGCCCTTCAACATGATGTGCCACTTGACCCCCCTTTTCCGTTTGGGATTCTAAGGGTAATATGTACCCCTCCTAGGGGGTTGAACAAGAGGACTAAAACTAATAATTTTAAGTGTCCCCCTTGATAATAAAATCGACCTATTTTTCCGATACCTCATATTATTCACTGGACGGAAGATATTGAGGGTGAGATGTGTTCTAAATGTGACCCTGTAAATAAATTACCTACCTACCTATCTTTCATAAGCTTTAATGACAGACTTTTAGTTTTTTTTCATCATTTCGTGATAACATACATCTGTTTTCTTTTATGATAGATCAAAAATATAAAAAGATTAGTATACCGTTTTATACTGTGAACTGGCAAGCTATCTATGATCAATTGATACAATTTTCGCAATGCTGAGGAACAATAAACTGAACACCCGGTATATCAAAATTTTCACTTAACTCGTAAAGACACTATAATTATTGGATCTCTGAACTTGGATAAAACTGTTCTCATTTTAATTTCGCGAATTAAATTAAATTGACAAGAACAGCTGTCGACCAGAAGAATAGGGGCATGGCCTTTAATAATTGAAACAAGAATAAACGAACATACCACTGGTCCCAAAGTTAGGTTCGGTTAATTGGTTAACATGAGGGTGATTCGATTTCATTCTTGGAGACCCTTCACAATTTTTTGAAATTTTTTTGGCTGTTAGATAACCCAGATATTTGCTGGCCTAAAAGTTGTGGGACACTCAGTATAGTCACATTTTTTTTTATTTCTGGAACAATTTTGGGGTCTGACATTTGGAAGTTTTTACGCCTAGTCACATTTTTAAAATAACGGAACTTTTACTGTCTTGTTCATAAAGTCATCACCTAACTGAATGTTTGTTTTCCAATTTTCGAAGTGACACTTTTTTCATTTTTCTATTACCAGGACAGTGCGGAGTGCGCGAAATGAAACGATGTATGTAAACTATATGAGATTTTTGTATCCAAACTGTATGGTCCTCAATCGAGCAAACATCCAAGAAATCATTTGTTTCTGATTGTTTAAAAATAATTAAGGCCTTTCAAGCCAATTCAACACTATCATTTATATTAAGCTAGGCATATTACTACTTTAGAACTAAAATGCTCCACATTTGAAGTATGAGACAAGCAAAAACTTCTATCATTTTCGAACCTTCATAACTTTGGAATGGATCAACCAATTTCCAATTCCTTTCAGTACTTTTTGTTATTCCACCTTTTCGACATGAAGACCTACTGGGTGGTATCTGAAAATGTGATAATTTTTGAAAAGTTTGGGATTACCCCGTTTCGCTGGGATTTTTTTTAATGTTTTATTGAGGGCGATAAAATGACGAACAATGAGTTTTCTCGAAATCGTTTTGAATTCAAGAGGATTCATACAGGATGTTTGGATGTATGGCATTTTTCACAACATATTGCATTCTGATATGTTCAACCATAATAAACTCAACTTCAACAGAATTTTACATTGGCATATCTTCAACGCCATCACTACACAATGTGTTGTACATTTTCGAATATAGGGGATGTAGAAATAAATTGAAATATTACGAAAAAAATGCCGTAAATATTTATTATTAACAGAATATTTATAATGAAAAAATGATGAGTATATAAAATTAACATGGGGCGGTATCATGATCGATGAATCGTTGCCCCACGTCGGTTATCTTGAGAGAAAGTATGAATATTCTTCGGTATCAATTAGACATTCATTGTGTTAGGGAAGTTTTCTTTCCAGTTGCCCAAAATATTTGTGGACAATTTCATACTGGTTGCGAGAATTGTCACTGGAGTTTGAAGACAACATAATATTGCCTAAAATAAATGTTTCTCTGTCACACGTCTTATTGATCATATGGAAATTTCGAACGAGAATATCTTCGTAATCGTTCGAAATAACTCTCTCAAACCCAGTATTGTTGAATTCGTAATGATACTCCCTAACCACATATGGCATAAAATACAGGATGTCCCATTTGAAAATTGAAAGATGGGGTCGTTTCTGGTCAATCCGGGAAGTGATGGGAGAGTATGGAATTTTGAAAAATTGACCAATTCTCGAATTCTACACCCCTGCCAAATTCGAAACTCATACCTCTGGAAATCTGGAAACCATGATCCTTCTGAAAAATTCGATGATACCCGGTATGTTTGAAAATATACAACACATTGTATAGTGATAGCGTTGAGCAGGATAAGCTAATCTATAAAGTTCTGTTGAAGTTGAGTTTATGTTGGTTGAACATCAGAATACAATATATTGTGAAAAATTCCATATATCACAACTTCCTGTATGAATCTTCCTGAATCGAAAAGCATTTCAGGAAAAGTCATTATGCTTCATCTAATCGCCCTCGATGAAACATAATAAAAATCCCTGCCAAACGGGGCGATCTCAAACTTGCCGAAAATTGCAATATAATGTGAAAAATTCAATACATCGAAACATCCTGTATGAATCCTCTTGAATTCAAAACCATTTCGGAAAAACTCATTGGCCTTCATCTTATCGCCCCCATAAGATATAAAAAAAAATCCCGGTGAAACGGGGTGATCCCAAACTTTTCGAAAACTATTACATTTTCAGATATCACCCTGTAGCTCTTCATGTCGGAAAGGTGGAGTGACAAAAAATGACTGACGTTTTACTCAATGGAATGAGCTAGCAGAATCTTGAAAGAAATTGAAAATTGGTTGATCCAATCCAAAGTTATGGAGGTTTGAAAATGATAGAAATTTTTGCTTATCGCACTTCAAATGTGGGGCAGTTTATATTCCTTGACGTTTCTAGAAAAAAATGTTGTTTGCAACTCGTGTTCGAAATACTCTGGTGATCCAGAACTGATTTTTTTGGAAAAAGAGTGAGTACTTTTTTCCCGGATATATAAACAAACTGTTGATAGCTTTTGTCTCCGTCTCCGAAAAAAAAACACGTCAAAAAAAAACTTGAAAAACATCAAAATAGACTAGTCCAAACCGCACAACGATAACTTGAATGGTTTCAGAGATATGAGCATTTGAAATGGGTCAGAAAATAACTGGTCACCCGGTATAATGTAATATCTTTTCAATATTGATTCGTCCTTTCTTCTGTCACAGAAAAAAGCAGTGTATTATACACGGGAATAATATTAAATTTTAGCTCATAGTTTTTTGTCAACCTCGGCTACGCGTCGGGAGACAACACAACCTCGAGCTAGTAGTATAGGTACACTCGTCTTCAGTGAACATGTCGCGGTTGGACGGTATGAGCGCTTTTATTGCAGCGGTGATTAAGAGAGAGCTGACACCGTATCCATGTGCGACATGTCCTCTGAAGACGACTGTACTTTTCCCCCTTGTATAATAAATAACTAATTTTGATCCAGAACTGTCTCATAAATCCAATCCAATGTTACGATATATAGGGTGTTTCATTAGAAAATGTAAAACGGGAGCCATTTTCGAAGAAACTGGAAGTGATCGGAAAGTGAAAAATACGTGAAAACTCTTCTCCTCACATAACATTCACCTATACCTAGATATACCAAATATCTTTTCGTTCCACCTAATATTCTAGTACTTGTGACTTGTCTAATCGATTCGTTGACACCCTGATACCATCACACACCAAATTATCACCAGAAAAGATATTTCGAAGAGATTTCCATTCCATTCAGGTAGGTATTCCCACTTTTGGAACCAAAAAATGTTGAATAAGCCCTGCTGCCGTTTTCTTTGAATAATTATTCACCTGTGTTGGAATCTATAAAACATTGTCCGATGCGGGTTTAGCCCGGTTCAGCAGAGCGATGACCTCTAAAGGCGGATTTATGCACGCCGCTTTTTCATTAATCTGTAATTTCACTTTCATTAACGATTTTACTAAGATGTTGAAACATGGTTTTTCCATATAACCATTTATGCACCAAAATTAAGATTTCACATTATTTAACTATTCTCTTAAGATAACCAACTTTCATCTTTTTAACAACAAATAAAAGTAAAATCGAAATTGCGCAAACGCGATTCCGTCATTTGTCGTCAGTCGCATTTCTTCTTTTTATTTTTAAAGAAGTATGGTTAGGTGTATAACATTTTTGTATTTTCTATCTTGTAGAGTTTGTTGTTTGTTTTGCAGTCTTCAAATTCAATTCAATACTTTTTGTAAAAAAACTAAAAATGTACGACGACATTAGTCTAATAGAATTAGTGCGTCAATATGCATTCTTGTATGACAAAGCACAGAAGGCATACAAGAACAAAACCGAGAAAGAGAATACATGGAAAACCATCTCTGAAATATTAGATACAACCCGTAAGTATAACTGGCAAATTTGTCAATTGGAGTGTATTCAACAGTAATAAACATGTATATTCTGCAGCTGAGGAGTGTGAGCAACGGTGGCTTCTACTAAGGAACAGGTTTTGTACTGAATTGAGGAAAGAAAAAACAATACCAACTGGCAGTGCACCCAGAACGCCCTGGCACTTGTATGAGGACCTCTCATGGTTGAAACCCCATGTTATTCCAAGGCGGTAAGTTTCAGTATTATAGGGATTCAATTATTTTTATGCTAAAAACTTTCAGTACTAGAGGAAATGTTACTCCTGCACCAAGAGCATCAAATGTATGGGATTCCTTATCATACACCCAATGCACTAATGATACCACAGAGGATATTGAAGAAACCGAAAATTCTACACATGACATGGAAGAATCAGAAACTCAATTTGATTTAGAGTCTAATTTTTGTGAAAGTTCCCAGGCTGAGTGTTCTGAGGAACAAAACAGCCACCAGGCTGTGTGTTCAGAGGAACAGAACAGCCAGCCCAGCTGCTCAACTTCAACACCAACTGGAGTCAAAAGATGTAAGCCACAATTAAGAGACATAAAGAATGATGTGACACAAGTGAAAAAAAAGAGGGGAGAAAATAAGGCATTAGGAGAAGCACTCACTGGTGCCTTAAGCCAGTTCAGTAAAGTGATGGGAAAGAAAGAGGAAGAAAAAAAAGAGAACAGGTCGAATCCTGAGGACCATTTTGGAGCTGTGGTAGCAGGATTACTGAAGGAAGTCCAGGATGGAAGAAAGAAAGTGGCTCTTGAAGCTGATATCCTGAAGCTTTTCGAAAGTTATATGTAATAATCTTTTTTCATCTGTTTTTCAATGTACCTGAATTTATGTTCAAATTAGGTCTAATTTTTATTTTGTTCATGTTTTTATTTTGGGAATTAGATTTTTAAGTTTCTTTATTTTTATGTATTTCTACATGCATTCTACATGTACACATTTAATGTTCCATAACCATTGTACCTGAATTCATGTTCAAATTGGGTCTAATTTTTATTTTAGGAATTTGATTTTAAGTTTCTTTTTTTATGTTCTTCTACATGCATTGTACATGTACACATATAATGTTCAATATATGTATTAACTAAAATATATTTGATTATTGTGTAAATTCCATTCATTTGGTTTTTATTTCTTAAGTGAAGTGTGGAAACTATAATATGAGAACTATTTTATGAATGGTCTAAAACTAGAAAACTGCAAATACATAATAAGTATATTGAAAAATAAAATGAATTCATTCTAAATAAAAAACACAAGTAGGTACTTATTATTAAAATATATGTACACAAAAGTTGATTAACAATGAAATAAAATATTTCACCTGCAGATTCTACAGTAAAAAATATGAATTTTTCTGATAATTGTGAGGCAAATACTGATACTGAATGGAAAGGGAAAGTTGATGATATATTTCAGTAATTCTTTCTCATATCAACATTGTAGGGACTTAATCAAGAACAATTTGAAATTATCTGCAGGTACAATATATTACCCATTCATAAAGAATCACTTCATGAAAAAAGTTAATAGCTATTATGTAGGGAGCTCCATCCTAAACTGTGGTGGAACACTTCCACGCATCACATATGATTCCTGCCATGGTAAGCCACCTTCTGGAGAATTGAAATATTCAGTTAGATTTTCCCTAATCCTAAACACAGCTCTACTGGCATTATTGGCTCCAACTCTTTGAACTCTTCTCAAATTAACATTTTCTTGTCTCCACAAACCAGGTCGTAGAACTCCACCTGCTGATTCTTCATCAACATAGCCAGTTGGGCAATATCTTTTTTCATCCAGGGTCATCTCCTGCTCTCCTCTTTGTATAAAATTGTGTAATACTATGCATGCTAACACTATGTTGTCACATGTTTCTATACTGGTTGTTAGAGCCCTTCTCAATATTCTCCATCTTTGCGCTAAGATGCCAAAAGTGTTCTCAATTGTTCTCCTAGCCCTTGAAATCCTATAATTAAATATTTTTTTTGTCAAGCTGAGATGTTTTCCAGGATATGGTCGCATTATATGTGAATGCAGAGGAAAAGCAGCATCAGCAATGAAAAAATTTGGCAATAATATTTCTGTATTAGGAAGGTGTTGAGGTTCTGGTAGTGGTAATTGATTATTTAAAATTTTAGTACCAAAAGCAGAATCACTGAAAACAATGGAATCATGATTCCCTCCTGATGCACCAACATCTACTAATATAAATCTATAATAGGCATCACATACAGCCATCAAAACAATACTGTGTGTTTTCTTATAATTATAGAATTGGGATCCTGCATTGAAGGGGGCCTGTATTTCAATGTGTTTCCCATCAATAGCACCAAAACAATTGGGTATATTCCACCTATTGAAAAATTCTTCCGATATTATTTTCCACTGTTCTCTTGAAGGCTCTGCCAGTACAATTGGCTGTAAGACTTCCCAGATGACTTGAGTTGTTTCCCTTATCACATTGCTCACAGTCGTCAACCCCAGATAATGACTGAAAGCCAACTCTTGCATGGAGCATCCTGATGAAAGGTAGCTGAAATCATGAAGAAAATGTATGACCAATCAATAGAACTATGTGCGTCCTTACTGTAATGTGATAATCAGCCTATGTGCAGGTGGAAGTGGATGTCTTGATGGAGCTCTTATAAGTTTGTTTTCAACCAAACTGAGCAGATAAAAAAACATCTTGGTTGTCATTCTTGTGTATTTGAAGAACATTTCCTGATCTTCCTGAACCATGGCCGTTAATAAATTATTAAAAAGCCCCTTTTGTTGACGGCAACGATTGATAGGCCTCACTGCATATCGTCTTGGCTTCCTCCTCGTCAAAACAACATATGACATGCTGGCAATCAGTAGGAACAAAACTGCTTCTTCAATTTCCATAACTATTCTTTGACTCAACTCTTGGAAATCACTTTACCTTTTCACAAATGAAGGGGATTCGAAATGGCGGTAGAACTTTGAAATTCACAAACACATTTGAGGTTAAAATCCAATTTCATAAACAGCTAGAACACTCAGACACAAAGATAGGATCGGGTTAAGTACTGGTATTTACATAAAAAAGAAGAGCTTAAAGTAAAATAAGGTCTTGCCATGGTCTTGCATAAAGGTATCAAAATCCTTAAATAAAAACTAATTCAAGTGACAGCTAGTGAAAGCAACAAATTAAAGAAAAAGCGGTGTGCATAAATCCACCTTAAATAAGTGCGAGGAATGCTCAGCCTGTTCTCACAAGAAAGTCGATATATATATCTACGTAGTATGTATATGCAGAGGGGCCCGGCTAGCAAACCAGTTTATTATAATCTATAATAAAAGCGGAAGATTTATTCAAAGCAATTAATGAGAAATGAGTCTCGTTGCCTCATATTTATATGTGATAAAATACTACCTATTGGCTTTCATGATCTACTTCTGCTACATTACATTCTCTTCAGTTTCGCGAGTTTCTCTCGCTAAGAGAATTATTACCTTCTTCGCCAATAGAAAGGTAATACAGTGTTCCATTATAGCTCTGCAGAAGTTCATCAAGTTAGTTACTTTACCGTTGCGATGAGTTCAGAACTCATATCGTCAACAATATGGCGACAAATGTTAAATAATGGTCGTTCTAGTATAGGTATAGTTTTCAATTTTTACTTCATCTACAGTCTACAGTATCTACATCGTCACAATTATTAGTATGGTAAATAAGTGAAGCGGACAAATTGATTGGTGTACCAAAAATCTAGAACAGTATTTTTTCTACTGGGATATCACGTGATATCAGTTCTCTGCTAGTTCCCTAAGATGAATGCACATAGTGAGTACCTGTATACGCGTCTTATAACTCCAAGGTGAATGCACAGTGGTAGGTCTGTGAGGTTTGTTCAATACTGCTCCCGCGTGGTGGCGCTAGTGTAGTTGGGTGTCACCTGTCATCCAAATAACTTGAAATGCATGAGCAGTACAATATTATAACAAATGATACCTGTATTATGTGATTGTTTCAGACGTTCTCGAGAGATACAAAATACAAAGGCAACATCCAACGTTGAAGCATGTTAACATTCCCAGATATTCTTGTGCCAGTGTGGAATTCCTTTCTGAAGGTGCTACATCTAATGATTTGTTGCAACAGATCGACTATTTATGGGTAGGAGATATGGAAATATAGAAGCTAGAAATAGATACTCATAACTATCAAAGACTAGATTGATACCTGCTACCTGCTTATTATTATTTTCAGTACCTTCATCGATGCATTATCAAGTTACAATGTATAATATTTCCAACAAATCTTGCCAAATAATAATGAAATAGGAAGAGATAGGGAGATACATATTTCTTTGGAGATAAACAGATTTATTACCAAACATATTATTGTATCAACTCAACTTTGACCTGCATGTGGTAAATATATGGCTTGAGATAACGGAAACAGATAACACGATTACATTACCTACTTACATTTATATGGTGAACGGAAACGAGAGATGAGGTTGGATGGAACTTAATTACCATCATGCGCATGGTTGAATTTCCAAGAATAACAGGTAAGACAGATATTGAGTCGAGAAGATCACGAATACGCTGGAAATCCCAGGTAAGTTGAAACTTGATGAGAGGTATAGATAGAAGCAGGTAGGTAAAAAAGGTACAGGCAGGTATAATACCGCCTTTGTGCAGAATCTTGTAGAACATCTGCTATAACATATCTTATTATTACCTGCCAAAATCGATAATCGATTGGAAATTGATGAATCGTCAGCATACTTTGATTTGATCGATGACATCGCTTACTAGAGGTAATATCGAATCTTCAACAATGCGATTGAGTGTCACGTGGTATTTCTTTTCCACACACGTCAAAGAGAGAGATACAAATGTCGTATTCTTATTGGTTTTATGGGAATCGGTCACGTGACTCTCAACATTGTTGTAGACCGTTTATAATACGAATCTAGGTGAAATATTGATAATATATTTATTTATTCCTCCTGCTGAATTATATCATCAAACATACATAGCAAAATATTCTCAATACAAGATTAAATATAGGTTATCAAGCATTAATGCGAACAGTTATGTTTATAATTATTACAAAAAGATAAGAATATTCATAATTTTTATGTTTCTATTGAAGAAGACCGATAACAAAAACATTTGAAATTGTTTAGACCATTTTCAAGAACCTATATGTGTACCTATAGAAATACCCTTGCTGATTATCAGCTACCTAATTGAAATTCATAAATTCTTTGCAAGTTTAGTTGCAGCCAACAGATTAGGATTCATGATTGGCAACAAAGCAAAAACAATGGTTTCTGGTGGGAAATTATATTGGTAACGTCATCAATGCTCTTGCACAGTTGCATATTTCTAAATAAAAAAATGGTTTCTCGTTTGCCTTCAGCATTAAAATTAATTCAGTTTTGAAAGAAAAATAAACATCAACAATCATAAAACTACTACCTACCTACCACACCGTATAAATATAGCGGCTATACCTAGCTGGGAAACGGATTTTGGTAGATGTAAGCAGATATATGCAACACTGTAAGAATCCCCCCACCATTCGCATGTGCCTACTTCAATCTATATAAGAGCATCCATCACAGAAATAGAGTCGCAGTGCTGTCCCAACTTCCAACAATCGTGCGTGACGTAAATGGTTTTGAGGTTAATTAGGTATGTCATTAAAATACTACTAATAATAGATCCCTAATTAGTGAACAGTTGAATCATTATTTGTGTTCGTCAACAATAATTATCTGCTATTTATCTATCTAAAAGCTTCTAGCTCCCAAGGCCAGTTCGAAGAACTGTTTCCTTTTCCCACGCCCATAAACTGAAAACATTCAACAACAACCACCAAGGCCAACTGGTTCAGTAAACATCAGATATAGCGTTCCCTTAGCAACAGACATTCATTGTACACGTGTTGTTTACCGATCCATAACATCGTTATCCACCGATCCCCACCAAAGGCACCCGACATCGCCCGAACACGACTAGATCTATGCCTGCTTGATGCTGGCTGGTGACCTCGAGTTCAAATCCAGCTACTTCCCCTCGCTCCTCGCTCCTCTCAACATCAGGTCTGTTTTCCTTCTGTTTCTGTTCTGCGTTCTGCTTTTTCCGCAGTGTTGCCAATAAGGCGCAAAAAGCGCAATAATTGCGCTTTTCAACTTGGTTTTGCGCCATTGCGATTTTTCGGGAAAAATTGCGCTTTTTATTACTTGTAAGAGCAATTTCTTCGAAAGAAACCAGCAGCAATTTTCATTGCGTGCCTACGCACTTGTGTCATTTTGAACAACTGTCGCAATTTTTCGTTGCATTGCAGGAAATACGATTACGTCCGGACCTATTTTTATTGGAGATATAGGGATTAAATGTTGTATTTTCGGTATTTCCTGCAACATTTATGCATGATTTGATGCATATTGAATATTGTTACTGTTCTCATTGTTTTCTACCAAACACAAGTCCTGATAAGGAGTATGACACAGATTTTTGACAAAAATTACATTGCAAGCTAGATAGTCATTTCGATTCAGTGTAGAATAACCTGATTATCATTATTATAATTCCCGGAAAAATTAATTGCAGCAATCAGTTGCATGTAATCAAAAATTGGAAACTGTAAATAAGCGGCAATAAAGACTAACAAGTAAATGTCTTGCGTAGCTAACGCTGTTGATTGATATATTACGCCACGATCATTTAGAATAAATTTCACAAATCTCTGACTTGTGTGACAAAATTATCCATTAGGCTTCATGAGCAAAATTTTCTTAATATTGCGCTTTTTTATTAGATATTGCGCTTTTATGTTGGCAGCATTGCGCTATTTGTTTCTCCAACACCGGCAACACTGTTTTTCCGTCAGTAAAAAGCTGACGCTGGTTGGAGAGTGTTGCGCTGCGCAGAGTCACGCGATATTAGACTGTATTCGAAACCTCATTGAAGGTAGAAATCGCAATGACGCCTTACGATCTGTGTCGGCTGTGTTTATCGAAGGACAACTTGGTGTGGGTATTCGACAATCGATTCGAAGAGAACGATCACATGAAAGACGTGGTTTTCGTAACCACTGGCGTCGAGGTATGTATCATCAGTTTGTTTTGAGTTGCTTGTACCTATCTATCAGTTGTTTGGTTTTGTTGTGCCGCTTCGCGGAACGGATAAGATGATGATTTATTATCTGCTGTTTTATTGTATAAATAGTGAACGCTGTTTTTGCTGCCAATATGTGTGCCAATATTTTGATGCCAATACTTGAGTTTGAAAATATGTAGTTGAGTATGAACGTGCGCAGTGCGTTAGTACGCATGTATGGCTGTCTATAATCGTTCTGTATGGCGCGCATTTTCCACAATACTGTCAAACAGTTTCAGGGTGATTTAGGGGAGACTATAGATCTTAAGATGCACACCATGCCGTCATCAGTCACACTAGATCATGTGGTACATTGAGTTTGAGTTATTGGTTTGGTAGTTGGCGTCAGCCCATTCGTTGATGGGTAGTTTTTGGTTTATGGACTCAAGATTATTTCTGATGACTTCTGAGATGCAATATATTTTGTGATACAACTTCTTGCCAAATTATTTAATAAGTGAAGTGACATCTATGTAATACAAAAATTGTTTCTATTATTATAATTTGCCGAGTTTGCATTTTCGGTACAAGATATTTTGAACATATTTTGAATATTGATTGATTTTTGAATTTACAAAATATTTGAATTGATATGGTGGGATGGTGCACACCGGGGTGTACATTTATATGAGTTGTTGGCTCCTCAAAAATCTGGATTTTGAGGTTTCAAAACGATTCAAAATCTAAGTTACCTATTAGTTGTTCTCAACTTTTGTTTTTTGCAAGGGGCACCCTGTATATAAGTAAATGTAACGCTGCATATAGGAATACACATTTACTTTTCAATACTTCTTTTTCTTTAATATTTAGAATTACTCAGCAATTAAAAATATTGAGTGTGTTTTTTTTTCTGCGTACTTAGATGAAAAATATCATGAAATGTAATCAATTCATAATAAAGTAGGTATACCTACCTATTCATATAGGTACACTGCTTGACAGTCACTATGGATTTTTTCTCGGATTTGACATCTAAAATGAAAAAAAGTTGATGTTGCTTGACAAAACGTGGAATGGCAAAATCGATAATCCCATCTAAAACTCCATTTTTAGAGTTATGTCAGTCCGCCTCTCGAATTTTGTGTATACAGGGTGGATTCAATAAAGTATAACAACCGTTTTCATAAAAATGGATCCAGAACTTGCTATATACAGGGTGATGAAGTTGAAATGGGTTGAAATAAGTATTAATAAAATCTGCGAATGATTATTGTTGAAAAGGAATATTCTCAGATAAATTATGGACATACAAAACGGATATATACAGGGTGTCCCTAGACCAGTGGGACAGTTGAATATCTCCTGAACCAATAGGAATTTTCAAAATATTATAATTTCACATCATACCGCATTAGGAGTGCTAACTTCAGGAATGACTATATTCTCTACGAGGGGCGCAAGAAACGCTCACAAAATCGAACATCAATTTTTTCAAATGGAACACCCTGTATTTCATTGCATTTTCATATTCTCCTTGAAGAGCTGAATTCAACGACTTAGCACACTTTCGGTCTAGCGGGAATGATTTTCGAGATATAGGGTGTGGAAAATCGAGATTTTTCATTTTTGGGAATTTTTTGTGTCAAAACTATTCATTATTGGTCAAAACGGCTTACATGTTCATGTCTCAACTTTTGATTTACTATTTACTCGTATTTAATTAAAACAAATACAGGGTGGTGTAGAATTCTCATGATTTGAAGAAGAATGTCAATTCTCAATTTCGGAGGATTTTATTTTTTATTATTCATGTTCTCCTTTTGAATGTTCATCAGATATAATTCAATGTTCGACGTGGCAAATAGCCAGGAAAGTAGTTGTTTTCTGTTGAATATTCAGAATGATGTGTGCATATACATATTTTTGTCTGAAGGAGAATGCAAATTCTCAATTTCAGAAGTTTTTATATTTTATTTTCAAACTCTTATCGTGTGTGTTCAATAGATATAATTCAATGTTCGTCGTGGCATATAGCCAGGAAAGTAGTTGTTTTCTATTGAATAAACTGAAAAAGAGTAGATATTCTCATCACATAGAGAATGCGAATTCTCAATGTATTGCTTTATATAAATATATACAGTATGATGCAAATGTATGGAATAAATTCATTATTTCAGAAATGGGCGACATTTGAAGAAATTCCAAAAACGCGTGAGTTTTAATTTTTGAAGCCTCATCTCATGACATTCATATGAGAGATGTTACGTCACTGGTGTAGAAGTAATGACGTAATGGACGATTTTTTCAAATACAAGCAGGGGTCATGTGACACCTCGTTTGAAAGGTCTACTGATCGTCTATTCAACAGTCAAAATTTTGCATAAGTATATTGCAATTAAAATGGATTATCATTTGGTTAACTGAATCTTGCAGAGGTCTGCTACTGAGAATTGAACATCGAAGGGTCGTCTAGTTGAAAAAATACACAATAAAAAAAGTTCTGAACTCTAGTTTTTGGATTTTTTTCGGAAGTCGTCTTGTTTTGAAATGAATTTATTCCATACATTTGCATCATACTGTACATTGTGTACATATATATCCGTTTTGTATGTCCATAATTTATCTGAGAATATTCCTTTTCAACACTTTCATACCCAATCAGGGGGTTCAAACTTGAACGATGGAAACTTGTGATTTTTATAGACCTCTAATCGCACTCGTAATCGCAGATTCGAGTCTCAATTCAGAATTTCTTTCCACGCCCAGTATGATGAATGTCAATTTATCATACACCCAAAATGCTAATGATTACTCCGCATGATTTGGAATATTGGATTTTTTCAAGGTAAGGCGATCGTTATAAATGCATCTACCATATTCTAGCTTACAGGACGAGACAGGATATCTCTTGAAAAACGCCACATGCTGTAACTGCCATTATTTAAGCGATACCTAATGAAGAAAAAAAAATGAAATACACTCACCGGCAAAAAAAACCGGCCACCAAAAAATTTAGTCAAGTTGTTCACCCGGTAACTTCTTTAGTTCTTGTCGGATTTCGGTGAAATTTTGATCGAATCGTAGATTCATGTTCCGGAATGTTAACCTGAATATGAATTCCCAAAAAAGGTGATAGCTTGGTCATTATACAGGGAAAAACAAGAGTTACTCATTTACCCATAACTTCTTAACGCCCTGTGGCTGAAGTGAGTGGTTGAACTCCTCTTCATTATGTCTTGGATTGAAGAGTATTCTTTTCTCATCACAATAGTTTTTGATTCACGTCAATATCTCATTTTTTAGAAAAGATACGAGGGTTTTAAGAAAGTATGGAGTTATTCAAGTTTTATTAACAATAACCAGAACGTAGACACACCTACACAAAAAACCTTAATTACAAAAAACAAACGAAAAGTAGATCTCCTATAGTCTGTTCGTTTAAAAGACGAAGTGATGGAATGTGGCAATGGAATGTTGTCGCAAATTTTCAAAGAGAAATCTTCCAGAGTAACCACTAGAGCGGCGTTGATATTTCATGAATTATACGTATAACCTTTTTCTGGGTAGAGTCGATTTTGCCGCTTTAATACAACAAAGTACGGACTACGAGGAGCTCCGAATTTCCGACAAACGCGTGGCTGTGGCAGGCCTTTCGCCGACAAACGCGCCGCTTCGCCGGCCTAATTAAGTCAAAGGAAATAATAGGCACTCCGAGTTTTCATGGGCGTAGGGAAGATAACATAGCATGGGATCAACGTTAGTTGTGAAGATTGGTATTTTTAATGCCTTTTTCATTGACTTGTGATTCGTGACACATGTTAGTACGCTTTCCGACCTGCCTTGTGTTGAGCAAGATGGACATGTTTTTATAATATTTCGAGTTATCGCTGATGTGTGCCTGACAGTTCTCAAAGCTGGTTTCCGCCTTGATATTGTTGAGGCTTGGGGATAAAATGAAAACTATCACCATTTTCAATTTCATTAGGTAATATCTATAGCAACTTGTTATCATTCTCATGTGGGTATATTATCATTAATCCATGTGTTTCATGTACTCATTTACTTTACTTCCAAGTAATTATAGGACTATAATCATTAGATGTATGGCTGATGATAGTCATATATATTTCCGAAACATGTAGCCCTGTTGATTGATCTGCTACTCACATAGGAGGTAATTATTTAGTATAGTTTTGATTTCACTCCACTTTGATAAACCAGAGACTTCTACCAAAGATACTGAAATAAGCAAAAAAAATGAAAATAGTCGGTCACCCACACACCATAATTATCATCTTATTGAGAAAGGGCCATTACGTACCAAATAGTTAGTAAATTAAATAAGGCCCCATTATTTTGACTGCATTGGAAGGTATAATCATATAATGATGTTGTACACTCTAGTCGACTTTTCGTCATTTATTTTATATCGATAGTTCCCTGTATTGATAGTATTTCATAAGGACTTTCATTATATTCACAATAATCACATATAGGTACTTGTTTTTCAAAACGACGAAAACCATTTGTATCAAATTCATCAGGCTTTATTTCCCTCATTTCAATAATTATGCTTTTACTTAGCCTAAATATTTCTATTAGTGTTATTTCCTCTCAATATTTTCTATACCGTTGTGTTACTCACGCCTGTCATATTGGAATATACAGAGAAGTGCACAAAAAACGGCCACTGCTGTATCTTCTGATTGATTCTAGATCGGATTTCTAGAATTGGTGGGCAGCAAGTATACCAAATTGCTCATCCACTGACAAAACAATATCTGCATGGTCCATTATTCTCTGTTCCACTAGAAACGACCGCAACTTTTGATTTCTAGATGGGACACCCTGCATTTTATTCCATGAATTGTTAGGGCTTATCATAACGGATTCGAGGATACCGCGTTCGATGGGGTTATTTCAAACGATTACGGAGGCTCAATGAGTGTGACATAGAAATGAGTTTTGATGGTGCTAAGTAACACCAATTGACATATGGAAATTTC